CAAGCATCTGCTACATAGATTTGACCCAAATGATCAACAATCACTCCTCGAGGATGATACAATTGTTTAAGACTATTTCCTTGACCATTTCCACCAGCAACAATAATTCCTTCTTTTGCATCTTTTTTCCATTTCATGACACGATGATTCGAAAGATCTGATATATAAAGAGAATAATCTTCATCAATAAAGATATTAGCAGGGAAGTTCAGTTGTTTAAGATGATTTCCTTTACCATTTCCACCAGCAACTAATTCACCTTGTTTATCTCCTTCTTTCCATCGTCTTACTTCATTATTCACACAATCAGAAACATAAATAAATCCATTTTTATCGATTGTCAGACCCCAGCAGTTAATATTTGAAATAAGAATTTGTTCATATGTTTCAGTTCGATCAGAATATCGAATTACTCGTTTGTTTCCATAATCAGCAATAACAAAAGAATAATTTTTTCTATCAAAAATTATATCTCTTGGATAATCCAATTGATTACTTTGATTTCCTTTTCCATTTCCACCTGCGATGATTTGACCAATATTTGAATTAAATTTCCATTTAACAATACGATGATTGCGAGAATCAGCAATATAAACTGAGTTACTGCTATTAATAAACATTCCATGAGGGTAAGATAGCTGATCCAGGTTCCATCCTTACCCATTTCCTCCAGCAACAGTAATTCCAAATTGTTGAAATTTACTCTTTTTTCTTTGAATGTCTTCTAAAATAAAAGATTTTGTTTTTATTCATAATCTTATTCATTATTTTTAAATCAAAAAAGAGTGAAAATAAGAAGAGAACCTTATATTCGAATCTATTTTAATAAAATAAAATTTTCTTTTTGTTAAATTTAATTCTTAATGAACAAAATTAATCTCAAATAATTTCTTCACTCAATTGAGATTGTTTAATTGAAAATCCTTCATTCGATTTTCATAAAAGTTTAATTTCGCAAAATGCTTTTAAATGAAAATAATTTTTATTTCAATGATTTTAATAAAATCGATTGAAAATTTCTTTTTTATTAATAGATTAAATAATTTTTTTATTTGAAAATTCTAAGCTGAAGAGTTAAACTTATTTAACAACTTAAAAACAAGATACTTTTTTCATTAAAATATTAAAAGAGATTTTTCAAATGGAAGAAATCTAAAAACTCTATTCATTCTGAGAAATTTGTTTAGATTTGATTTTTCTATTGGAATAAATCTTTTAAAAAATCATGAAGATGTGGGTCAAGGTGTAGATATGGGTGCACAAATATAACAATTATTAACGTCATAGTTGGACTCATACTCACACCCTGATCTAGACCCACACCCACCCTCAACCTGAAAGTCGATGAAACTACCTTTTAGACAAAATTACTAGTATTGTTATTTAATGAAACATACCTTGTTTTATTTGAGATTGAGTTAATATTGGATCTGTTATTATTGGATTCTTTGATATAGTCGGTGTACTATCTGTGAAATGATTTGATTGATAAAAATCTTAGTAAAAATAAATAATTATTATTTAGATTGTGAGTACTATTGTTTAAGTTTTTGAAATAATTTAAAATAGGAACAAAGCAAGGTTTAAATTTTCTCATTTAAAGTTGTCCCAATAATGAAACAAACTGAGGGAATTCGTTCATATTTTATCTTTTAAATATAAATCCCAAAATTTCCTCTATAAAATATTTATTTCTCTTTGAGAAAATATTTTTCTATATGTAAAATACGAGATAATATTCATTTATGAAAGAAAATTTATTTTATTTTCTAAAACAAAATTCTTTTAGATGATTTTTTATGATTTAATAGATTTCTTCTCTTTGGAGTTTTTTTATTTTTCAAATATAAGAAAAATATTGAAATATTTTATTTTAAAAAAGAAAGATAGGAATAGGTAATAGTTATTATTAATTTATATATTAGTTTAATCAGATTTTTGATAGTTTATTGAAACACAAAATTAATTTCTTTATAAATTATTCTATTGAATTAGATATTATTTTCATTGATCTTTAAAACAATTGTTTTAGGATTTACCTTAAACATAAAATTGGACAAGTATAACCTTTAATATTTTATTTTGTAATTAAGATTTTCAATAGATCAAATTCAATAATAAAATATCAAAATAATATCAAATATCTGTTATTCATCTAATTATTTTGAGATCCGTATTATAAATTCTACAATAACTTGTTTGTTGAATTATTTGTAATTAAAAAACGAACCCCTGATCGAAGGTGTGCAGTGTGGAGATGAGAATGAGTGAGGATGAGTGTGAGTTTCTTCTATACTCATACTCGTTCTTCAGAGCTCCATTTCATCTCCTCGCAAAACCCTAGGGACTCCATTACACTTCCCTGCAAATCCATAGGGAATCTGTGTTATGATTCCACGTTGGGATTTTCGTAACGAGTCCCTTGAAGATTCGTGAGGAGACGGTTAACTAGAGATAGTAAGATCTAAAAATCTGATTTAGTAAAGCTTTAAAACATACTGCTCGAGATCCGTCTACTTTCACAATTTCTTCAGAAAGAAAAGGCAGTAGCAGTAATCGTATTAAATACATACACAAGTATTTATATCTTATTTCTAAGATTGTGATGCTTTATAGAAAAAGCTACCCCATAATTATGTGCAAAAATTTTAGCATATGTAGAATTTAGCGAGGAATCTTATGAAAATTCACTCTTTGAAAAATCAGCTAGAATCATAACTGTGACTTGTAAGCAGTTTTCTACCACATTGTTCGATATCTAACATTTTATATTTCAGCTGATAAAATGGTTTTTCTCTTACTCGGTGTTGGTTTAATCTGCGCAGACTCAATCGTAACCGGTTGTAAAAGAGTAATTGGAGGCTTTGTCTCTTTTAATTGAATCATATGAAGGCCTGGTGCTGCTCGAAGACAAGATACTACAATAAATTGTCGAGCAGCCAGAAGAAGAACTTCTTTTTCCGATTGATAATACGAATGACGACTGATATCTTTGCCACTATCACATTCGATAGTAAACATTGTTCTTTCGCCAGTTTTGCCTAAAAATTGTTCGTCCTCGAGTACTTCTATAGTTGTTGTACATGAAGAAAATCCCCACCAGACAAATTCTTTTCCTTTAGTATATTGATTAGATAGATCTAAATTCACTCCACGAAACACATGACATCGTGTGGATGGTAATTTTTCGAGTGCTGTAAGAATAAGTTTCAAATACGAGAACCACGGTTTTAATTTTTTCCTATCTTCAGTGCGAAGAGTTGCATTTAGGGCAAAATATAAACATTTTTCCTGTGGTTCCCAGTCCATTGAGTAGAGCATGATTGAAGCTGATTCATCCTGTGTTAAATTATCGGCAGGTACGGATTTAGATCGCTGTTTCGCAACATAAACAAAATTTTGAATTTTAGGTACAATCGAAACAAGTGGTACAACTGCTTCCTCCAGTGGCACTATTGGCATTTCTTCATACCCTTCAATTGGCATGAGCATCGTTTGCGGTTCTTTAACAATATCCGATACACGTGTATACTGTTGTGGGTCAACATTTCCACTTGTAGCCATGTTTATATGGAAGAATATTTTCGAGTAACAAGCACAATAAGTAGTCTAGAAATAAAATAAAAATTTGTTTTTAAAATCGTCTTGAGGATGTGAGTGTGGGGTAGCTGTAGGTGTCTAAAGTATGGGGCGTAGATGTCGGTATTGAATCATTCCGCCCACTCACATCCTCGAATAAACGAGAGGAATAACTTTAAAAAGTTATATCATATAGAAGTAAGTGATTTTAATAAACACAATAAATAAACGTGTTAAGAGAAGAAAAAAGCTATTATATAAAGATTTAATTACAATATAAAATAATCTATCAAACATCATTTGATTATTTATGACAAAATGATATTTCTACTAAATAGATATTAAATCGATTGATTCTTTTTTATTTATATTTATTTTATATTTATTTGCTTCTTAAAGATCGTTTCGAATCGAATCGTTTTCAGCCTCTGACTCTATATAGAAGAACAAAACAGATAGAATTCACATTATACATTTGATTTGTTCTCTTTTATACTTAGAATATATATGAAAATGGATGAGTAAATTTGTAATGAAATTAAACATCCACATTTAGATTATCATTTTGTTATTAACTTAGTTAATATTGAAAAGTCAGGTTATGAATAAATATGAAAATAAGCCGTCAAAAATTTTAACACTTTTTCATTACGGAATGGTATGAAGAATCTTCATAAATCATACAAAGTAACTAATCAGTCTATTTTTAATTTGCTAATTCAAGTTAGAAAATTATTTATATTTGTGTGAAACACTGATCAGAAGAAATATTAGTATACAGTATGAAAAGAGTGAAAAACTCACCACGTCAACAATAGTTTAAATCGAACGAATTATGTGCTAGAATTCTTGATAGTATTATTTACTTTTTAATGTATGTTGGAAGTGAGTGATGAAGGTAGTTTATTAAAATGATGAAGTTATTTTTTCGAAAGTGACAAACAAAAAGTAAAGTTGATGAATACAAAAAAAAATTATCAGAATTTAAAAGCAACAACACCATAAAAATATGCTAAGTAATCAATCGGTGGTGTTTTTTTTCTTTGCATGAGAAGAGAGAGAATACTACTATTTCATTTCAAAGCATGTGGACAAGCAAAGGAAAAAAACTTTGACTTTCTATGTGGCTGCTGCTATACAAAGACATTTTAATACATTTCGCGAAAGAGTAGAAGCTATTAAATACATTCGATGCCAGTAACAACGATAATCACATCAAGTCGAAGCAACAAAACACTTAATTTCTTATGGATTCTACATCAAGAATATTTGGGTGTGAATATCAGTTAGAGATCACACTCACACCCTCAAAATGCCAATGGTACACCTTGCTTCTTTCTTTCTTTTTTTATATTCCAATACATCAGATGGAAACGATGAATGAACTTACATAAAGACTTCTATTTTTTATTTTAATTCAACATAAGAAAAATACAGAAAAATATATGAGATATATAAATGATAACAAAAATAGAGATTATTGATTTATTTATTTGTTTGTTTGTCTATCTAAACATGTTTATTTTATCTATTTAAAGAACTTGTGTGATGAATTTATCTTCATATTTAAATCCATGCGAACGAAACAATGGTGATTCATAGAATTGTTTCAAATCTAATACACTATATTGACGTGCCTAATAAAAAGAAAAATGATTATATATATAGATAGATTCTTAATTAAAAGAAACATACTCGACTCTTAAGATCTTCTTCTGAAATTTTAATTGGTGCTCCAGCTGATGCAACACGATCAGCACCATAACGATTTCGTTGAAATGCTAAATTTTCGTGGAATAATTGTTTTAATAAGAATAATAAAAATTCATTATTATCTTTTTTATACGTTAAATAACGTTGAAATACCTGAAATTAAAAAAAATAATCAGTTTTCTTTTTTATACTATGTCATTAACAATACTTTTTTCATTGTTCGCATAATACCATATTTTTGTGCATCAATAAAGCTTTGAAGTACAATTTGAATAGCAACATTAATATCATCATCATTAACAAAATCACGTAAATGCATTCGTGCATGTGCTTCAGCAATACGAACAATAGATTCAATTTGACGAACTGTTACTGGAACACTACCAGTTACTAATGATTCACGACGTAATTTTGCATATAATTGAGCTACTTTATCTTGATCAACCGATGTCATACGTGGATGAATACGTCGTTTAGCATAAATTATATATTTCTTAAAGATTTCTTGTGGAATTGGATCAACATTGAAGATATTTGGAACAACCTAATATTAAAATTTAGATAAGAAAAAGAAATGAAGAAAGAAAAAAAGAATATTTTACATGATTTTGTTGAATATCATTTGCGGTAGCTGATGGATGATGACGCATATGACTTTCTGTTACGAAACGAGCCATTAATTCATCCTAAATTGAATTAAATTATTATTTGTGAATGAAAATAAATAAAGAACTTACTTGAACAGGATCAGCAATATCACGTACGGTACATAAAATATCGAAACGTGTTAAAATAGGTTCAGATAAATCAACATTATCCATAAATGTTAATGCTGGATCATATCGTCCACCAACTGGATTTGCTGCCGCAATAACTGAACAACGTGCTTGAAGTGTTGTTACAATACCAGCTTTTGATATTGAAATACTTTGTTGTTCCATAGCTTCATGAATGGATGTACGATCTTGATCAGACATCTAAAGAACAATTTCTACCTTTTTTATTTACTATTCTTTTACTAAACAGATAAAATTTACCTTATCGAATTCATCAATTAAACAAACACCACGATCAGCCTAAACGAAAAAAAAACCCAAATACTAATCTATTCAATAAAATAAATCTCTTTTTAAACTTACAAGTACAAGAGCACCGGCTTCAAGTGTCCATTCTCTTGTAACAGCATTTCTTTGTACATAAGCAGTTAAACCAACAGCTGATGCACCTCTACCAGTTGTAAATACTGCTCTATGAGCTGTTTTTTCAATATATTTTAAAAATTGAGATTTAGCTGTTGATGGATCACCACATAGTAATAAATTAATATCACCACGAACTTGATGTTTTCCACCTTGATAGATAAATAAAACATTTTAGTTCGTTCGTCTCAGACATACATAAAATAAACTGTATAGGTTCGAATCCGCCTAACCACGGTAACGATTTCTATGTCGAATACTCGTGAAACCAATAGCGGAGAGAATGAAATAACTATTCTTTAACTCTAGAATCGTAATTAATCGGTTTTAGTACCTGTCGAGTAGTACATCCTAAATTACTTTTTCATTTAATCAAATTATCGTTATACATACCAGGATTTTTAGGTTCGCCACCAAACATTGCAAATGCAATAGCTTTTTTAACCATTTCATGACCATAAATCGACGGTCCAATACTTGCATAAATCTAAAATTTTTTTTAATTGATACAAAATAAAAATTGAAGAATTTTATTTACTCGTTGAGCAATTTTAGGATCTTTTGATAAACGTTGAAGTTCTTGTATATCTTCATCAGTTAATGTTTCAAATGAAATTTTATCTTCACGTGTTGATATATAATTTGCTTCAACAATTGTTGCAAATACTGGTAAATTATTTTGAATATTTAACGAAATATTATATGTATTACGATAGACACCAAGTACTTCCTAAGAAAAAAAGAAGGTTTTTCTTATTTTCAAAAGAAGACAATAGAATATTAATTTAATACATACAATTTCATCACCTGGTCGACATGTATCACATAGATCGCCAAGTAAAAGAATTTCTTTTGAACGTGGTATACGACCTGGTGGAACAGTTCCTGGACTTTCTTGAATTGATATTCGTTGATAATTACGATAAAGTGTCTTTAAAAAAAAAGAATACATTTCATATTTTTTCTTTTCTAGAACTAGATTAATACTTCTTCCATATTAAGTTCAAATGGTCCATTTGATTGACATTCTGGACATGAACCTGGTTTGATTTCATTCTCTTGATTTTGTGCAAATGGTCCAAGTGTAAAACCACATTTTTGACAATTAAATTTAATAACACTTAATTGTGGTAAAACACCTGTTGATGTTGTTACAACACCACTTATACCAATTAATTTATTTAAATGTTCAACTCTAAATACAAAAATAAAAATTTTTTTTTAAATAAAAAACGAAATGAAATTTTTATTATACCTTAAATCTCGTATATTATCATTTTGAAGACAATTACTAACACGTACAAATAATTCTTTTTCAATTGCTCGATGATTTGGATAAAGTTCAAAACATAATTCAGTTAATGCTTCATGAAATATTTTTAATGTTTGTTCAGGTGCACCAAGAAGAAAAAATGCTAAGACTTCATCCATTGACATTAAATGTTCAAAATCAACAATAATTGATTGTTTTTGTTCTTGAACAAGACGACGTAATGCTTCACGATAAATTGGTTTATTTGTTCCACCAACTGTATTTGCTGTTATTTTAAATGTACGTAAAAATTTTTTTAAATGTCGTATTACTTCATTATGTGGACCAGGCATTTGTACCCAATCAGATATTTTATGACCTTGTGTATCACCTAAATTTTTAATATAAGCATCCGATTCATCATCCATGCCAATATCATCATCATTTGTACGTGTACGTTTTCCTTTACTACTTAAACCAATAATTTCATCGTCATCATCAAGATCACTTTCATCATTTAATTCTTGACCGAGTCGACGACGTTTTTCACGTTCACGTCGTTTAATATCTCGTTCAGCTCGTCGACGTTGTTCAGTTGTAAGATCTGTATCATTTTCCTCGTCATCATCAATTCCACCTGCTTCATATCGATCTAATTCATCAATAGCTTCATAATCTCTATATAAAATAAATAAATAATATATTAATTAGAAAGAAATGCTTTCTTTTTTTTGAATATTCTACCGTTCAAATTCATCACCAAATAAATCTTCACCAGATTCTTCACTTGCAATACCTGATCGATCATCACCTAAGATTTC